ATATATCTTCCTTGCTGGCTGAATGAACCATGGTTGTTTGTGTTCTGGCCCTACAACCCAACCGCTCTGCAGCAGGGTCTTCTTCACGAATTCCTCCTCTCTGTGCAGCTCGATTCGGGTTGCATCGTTTCCTTGCTCAATAGTCTTTTCTGGCCCTACTGCACAACCGCTCTGCAGCAGGGTCTTCTTCACGAATTCCTCCTCTCTGTGCAGCTCGATTCGGGTTGCATCGTTTCCTTGCTCCGCGGAATAGTCTTTACCAGCCTGTACTTATGGACTATTGGGTTATGACTGAAAACTGTAAATATTGACCTCTCCAACTCTTCTTGTGGCAGACAGAATACTGCAGTCGTTCAGCTGTGGCCTTCTTTCGGTGCTTAATTGTCATGCCACCAGAAGGAAGCAGGAGAGCTGGAATACTGCCAAGTTGTCCAAGCCTAGACAGAGGAAGTCAGTTAATTCGCGCTCTAACCACTGAGCCATCTTGCTGAACGTGTCCAAATGTCGCACCGTGTTTGTCCGTTTTTATGAGAGTGTTATATTACTGTTGCCAAGCGCATCACCAAGGTGCCGACTTTTGTACTGCAAACGGTCTGTTTGCTTCGGAAAAAACTTCTTCTTTACAACATCGTTCATTTGTTGTCATCGGCATTAAGCGCTTTTACCAAAGAAGGAACCAGCTTTGCTTTCCGTATCATCAGAGTTTGTGTTTAAGACAACTGCATCTCTTCTTATTTCCATACTCTTTCATGAAGTTGCTATCGCTAGCGTTACCGATGAACGCCTGCCACCGTTCGCACGGGCATTCTCTCCGACCAGAAGCGCAGGGTAGTACTACTTCCAAATATCCTTGTTTTTTACTAAGAAAAACATCTGAAGTTATCTCCCTCTCATTGACCTGGCATATTTTCTTCTTTGTCCACAGTTCTCACTAGTATTTTGGGGCAACTTAGCGGAGCTTGTATCTTGGTTGGACACGTTCGTTTCCTCAGAATCTGATTGGCATTCGCTTCCAGACAAAACAACCATAGCCTCACCTGCTGCATCGTCTACTCACTCGTCTTCTGTCTCTTGTCAGCCTGTGAACTTCTCTGACAAACTTGCCCAACGACAATTGGAACAGTTGTCACGCACAGTCCAGTCACTCATTGCCGTTCAGGTGCATATCTCACCTTTCCTACAGACTACGGGACAGTCCTCAGAACTCACTTCTTCGCCTGCTATGATTGATAAACATCGTGGTTTGCTGATCTCAGCGCAAGCTAAGGCACACGCTCAGTGGTCCGCCTCTATGCTACTCAGCTCGGATGTATCGGCAGCTAACAACGTTCCCCAAGCAAAGAACAAGGTCAGTACTTTTACTAGCGTGGTACTTCACTCGTAGAACTGTCTCTTTCACCTAAGAACCATCATACAAGGGTAACCACTTTGACAACAGCGTTTAATAAAATCGTTGAGCTGTAATACTCTTCTGGTGCCTAGCTGCCATGTCACCCAAAGGAAGCACGAAGGGTGAGATACTGCCAGGTCGACCAAGCCCAGACGGGAGCAATCGAGGTGCGGAGGGTGGGTTCTAACTATGGACCTTCCGGTAAATTTACGCTTTAACCATTGAGCCACCTCGAGCTTGACTACAGAGTTGCTGACTTATTGTACTCTCTTGCTCTAGAGAATTTTTAGCATTAATTTATAAGTGTTTGCAGTAATTGCTGCTTTCCCTCGGTCATGAAATTCTAGTTTTAACGCCAAAAAGTTGTACCAAACAGCGTGTCACCTGTTCAGTAGCTTCTCTGCTGTGGTTGGTAGAAAAGGCTCTGTTGCTTAGCCAGTTTGGTCGCTTGACTTAACTCCCTGTGGCTTCTTTCCGTGGAGCTATTTGAACAAACGGGTCTACGCCACATCTGCGCAGACACTTGATTCATTGGATCAAAGGATAATAGCAACTCATATAGGTATCTCTCCGACTTTTATCAAAAGTGCCGCACAATTCCCTAAAACTTGTTTATATATGTGAGCCTCCTTTGGGTGGCCGTTCTGAACACTTTGGTCAATTCGTACGCTCTATGGGACAGCATCGGGTCACGCACACGTTCTACCGACATATGTGGGTTCTGCCCAAGCTTGCCGTTCATTCTGCGCCTGGATGCTCTATCGAATGCATAATCTGAAGGTGTGGAAGCTGATACAATTACACATGGATCCAATTTCCCTCAAATTGCCTAGTTCCAGTGATGTGCTCCCACATGCTTCTTTGGTCCGCATTTCAGTATTCGTCCGTTTTTGGAGAGCATTAATATTTTCACAGAAAACTGGTCAGTTTAGCACATTAACAGCTAAGGATGATAACGTTATAGTGTGCTTCGATGAATTTAGGGCCACATACAGGTCGGACTTGCATTTGTTTAGTAGATTTTTCTACAAACAGCGGTCAAAGTATCTTCCAGAATGTTAATTTGCCTTCACTTCCCTTTTGATTTTCAGCAAAGAACCGCATACCTAATCTTTATATTTTTATCAGTTTCTCAAACTTTTCTAAAAGAACAGTTCAGCTGCTGAATACATGTCACTTTGGATTGAGGCGTGGTTGATGTGGTATTTACAGACAAGCTTTTCACCATGCAAGCTAGTGGTGGAATCAAGCAAATGGAATGATTTTTACGAAGGAAACTACTCAAAAGGTTGTTGAAAACTCTTCGACAGCCCATGACCGGTTTCGTCCTTCTTGGGACCCATCAAGTAGGCGCAGTCACCGAGTTTCCGTCAACCTTATGTTCTACTTGAACCCAAGTTGGACTGCTTTTGAGAAATACACTCATTTACAGATCATTTTGGTTTTCACGAGAGACTCAAATGAATCTCCCGTTTATAATATTCATTCAGTTTTAGAATATCATAAACGAGAGATTCAGTTGAGTCTCTCGTGAAAACCAAATTGATTTGCAAATGAGTGTGTTTCTCGAAAACAAAGGGATTTATGTTAACCTCAAAAAGGTCATATGAATGATGTCGGTGATCGAGGTACTGGAAATCGCTAAGCCCTCCAGTGTGAATAGCTTAGTTGTGAAATCATGGGCAGCGGTTCAAATAGGTCGTACTGACACGTCGGCAACTCTCTTATCATTTAAGCTACTGTCCAGATTTTGCGTGCTTGCAGAACTACCTACTTTGGATCACTCTTGTTATCCCAAAAGGTCTCACTACTTTCCATGGACTCCTGGTGGAAAAAATCGCTCAGCTGTATCACCCTTCCGGTGCCTTACTGCCATGCCACCGGAAGGAAGCACGAGGGCTGGGATACATCCAGGTTTCTCAAGCCTAGGCGGGGGAAGTCCAGAGGCAGAGGTCGGATTTGAACCACGGACCTTCCGGTTAGTAAATTCGCGCCCTAACCACTTGAGCCATCTCGTACCGTCCTGATAGAAGCAGCCGTTGAAACTATGCGTGGCCACTAAAGCAATGACAAATTAGTATAGTAAATGGAATCAATGTAAACCACGACCAAAATGAGTTGGAGGATCTTCAACAGTTAGTCAGATTCCTCCTGTCGATAAGCAAATCATGTGACTCCCATTTTTTATTGACGGAACGTGTCGCACTCCGCAGCTTGGCCGTGGTACACGACGTGGCACTCTCCAGTTAGACTACTCGGTCCATGAAATTCTTGTTTCAATTCACAGCTGTGCCTGACACCCTTCAGACGCCAGGGTTAAATTACTTTTGGCTGCGAAAATGCAAGATAAGCATGACAGCATGACCGTATCAGGGGGGTTTTGACAGGGGGAACTCTTAGATAAGGAAGCACCCTGTAATCGAATGCTGTTAACCAATCATATTAGAAGGAATAAAAGCATTGACTTAGCTATCTACACTTAGTATTCGACTTTCCTACCTTGATAGAGTTCTGAAACAATCGTAAAAAGATAGAGCGACCTTATATAGATTTCAAATATTACATGAATGCAATTTACTCTTGTCAATAGCTTTTGATATTTGAGTTTGGTGCACCCGGAAATGACCACACATGTCAATCAATCACGCTAAAAACTTGACCATTGTGCAACTACTGAGCAGCCGACCTCAAAGTCCTTCTTGGTGGTTTAACACTTCCGTTTCTGGCCACTGCCCATTCAGTGCGTCTCCGACAGAAATACAACGAATACACACGTGAAAAGCTTTGTTCAAAAGACTGAAGCAAATGGGAGATTTGTGAGTTTTCAGGTTCCACATTTCAATTGTTCTCGTTGGTTTGCGTACCAACCACAGAGCAAATTTCGTTGGTCTTATGACCGGCCCAATTCGGAGGAGCTAAGTAGAGAAACAATGAATGCCACTCAGTGTGCGCTGATCCTCAAACCGGATTTGTTTCATCAAAATATATCAAGGATCGAGGTGGCTCAAGTAAAGCTGATCAAGCTGATCAAAGCCAGCGTACGACAGCATCTTATAGGAACAGAATCTTTGTACCTTCTCGTTTCTGGTGTGAGCCGACCACGTAAGCTAGTCAGGTCAGGAGGAGTAAAATTCGGACAAGAGTTATATGACTTCAAAAACGATGGATATACTTTTCAAGTTGAAGCTGGTGGCAAACGGGTAGTTGAAGGAATTGTATTTCTCTAGTAGTATTGTTCGTACACAAGTAGGGTATAGGTCATTGCTCCATAAACTGTTTTTGGCCCCAAACAAACCACTTGAGTTTCTGCATGTTTCAATGGATAGGGGTAAAGCGTCGGACATTATATTTGCCACAGTGGCATGAGTCACAGTAAAACCATCAGCGCTCACTGTGTGTTACAGTAATTTGTGAGGAATTGCGGATGCACTCAACATTGCTTATGAACTTTCCACAGCAGTAAAGCAGATTATTTCGCAATGAAATACCACACCTTCTTACTTCCATTCGATTGGCAGCGACTATCAAGCTCCACGCATGCGTACCGTGTTTTCATGGAATGCTGTCAAACGCGCCCCCATATACACGTGTATTGGACATGCGAACGGTGGCGTGGACTGCGCACCGCATTACCACCTGTGATCTGGTGCGTGTATGACAATCTAATAGGGTACAGCTTTCTCTCTAACCCCCATTGGCCTGAGCGGTCGCGAATGTGGCTGGCAGCTTCAACCGCAGTGGGCGAGCCTTGGGAATACACATCTAAAGACGAACGAAATTCATGCGACGCAAAGGGTCCGGTTCATCTGATTGAATGATTTTTGCAGTAGTATGCAGTTTATTGAAAACGACTGGTCCCTGTGCGATCGCACTTTAATGGTCTAATCCTGAGAATCACCGGTGTTATACGCAGCGTTTTAAACTGTGCTTTGACTCTGCTGGAAGAGTGAAAAGTGTAAGGCTTCTCGATTACTTTTTCATCCGACTCATTCAGTATGGTGGTTTCCCGTCTCCTTCCTCGTTCAGTCGAAAGAGCAATTACCTACATTCGTCAACTTACTCTTACAATCGTTCGGTTCCGGTCTAAGTCCCCCAATGGAGTCAATAGGTACTATTTTGAAGAGCCACTCCGTTTCTTCTCCAACTGAAAAATTTAGTCGACGGATTTCAACCGCTCGCCTCGCCAGTCAAGCCCACCGTCGATGCATCGAAGGTCACAGAGCTTGGAAAGAAGCGTTTGGTGAACGGTTGCGAATTGCGGGACCATTAAGTACATTGCTGTGGGCTCGTCTCGCAGATCGTCTAGATCATCCCAGGTAAATCACTCATTCAATTTGCACTTTGCTTTTGGGATTAGCGGGATGCCAAACTTCAACTGTATAGTACATTGGTTGAAGGTTCTTATTCCTCATTTTTTATTTGTTCCCGGTTAGCGTGTGTTTACGTAATGTGGGCCGACGAAAATACCGAAAGTAACGATTGAGTGACAATGGCTCATCGTCTTCGGGCTTTCGCTGGACAAATACGGGCGATACACTTTGTAGGTAGCCTTTCACCCAATTTCCAGATTCGTTTCGAAATCAGAGCTAGGTCAGAATCTATCAAGTTGGAGGAGAACCGGTGTACCCATGGTGCATCATCATCATCATCATCAACAACAACAACATCATCATCATCAGAGACAGCAACCTCAGTTAACACTGATGCCTGACTCCCGTATAACCACAAAGTTTGTTTGATCATGCTTCGGGCCTTAGAAGGAAAGGAAGAGAAAAGAGTGAATGAAGGATGAGACCTGGCGATGGCCTGTCGCCAATATTCTGAGTTGCCTACACATCTAAGCGCTCAATCAGACAGTCTGGAAAGAAACTGACAACACGAACGTTACTGACTCCTATCAACCGCTATATCTTGCTGTCTCCAGCCAAGCGCAGTAGGGGTCACATGGACCCCATCCTGGAAGGTGCACTGCACCAATCTCTTTGTGACGGTGCACACCTTGACCGACCGAATGACTTCGTCCCGTAATCGGCCGTTACATACCCTGAATGCGTTGTTGTCAAGTTAATAGCTCCGTGGGCCATTATTAGCTTTGTGGCTACTTCGGTTGCACCTGCTTCACCTGTGCTTGAAATAGTGGTATAAAAAGTGTCATTCGTCAAAAAAAATCATTGGGGTGTAGACAGTTTCCTTCGGATCTATTTGAAACTTGTTGCACCAGCCGAGGTACTGAATGGTATCCGCAGAGCTAAGGTCAAGATGGAGTTTGAGGAGCACGAAATTCGTGAAACGATCATGTTCAATTGTCCTCAGTATACGCAACAATAATCAAAGCTTCCGTACATCATCAGGTTGAGCGAAATCGATTTGAAACAAATTTTCGTAAGCCCTTCAAGATTTCGTGCTAAATTTAAATCCAGTAATCCAGTTGGCTGAGAAAAAACAGAGATCCCAATGTTTTTTTTTTTTTGCCGCGGTTTACTGTCCCAATGTTTTTTTGTTCTAGCCGCCGATATACTGTGCATCAAAGTGTCCAAAGCCTCATTTAAGTTCCTTCAAGCTGCTTCGGTTACTGTTGCGAAACTGCTTAAGTTTGCTGTGCTAACATTGTGGTTCGGCAGCAGTTGTGTCTCGAAACTCCCAAGGTACTCAATGGCTCTCTTCCGTCCTTAATGGAGACCAAGGAAGACTGCTTCAGACGAATTTACATAGCAGTCACAAAATTTTCCACAGGATCACATTGGAGGCGAGAACCATCCTGTGACTAAACGGCGCGTGCCCCATTCTTGTCCGCACCCGATTCGTTGTACATCCATCAGATCAACATGTTCATTTACTCCAAGCGGTTCACTCCAATGTGTTTCTTCAGTCCCCCCCTTTTGACTTGTTTGCGTGCCTATGTTCACCCCGTGGTACTTCTTTCAGTCGACTGTATAAGTCCATATAAGTCACTAACATGTGTGCACCGTCAGGTGCTGTACATGCTCTATAGCGCTGTTGTGTGATATTCTTGTCAGTCACGCTTAGTTAGAGATGTGCCGAGTTTTGTCTGATTTGGGGTTTATTCTGTCGTGTGGACCGACAAACCAAGACCGTGCGGTACAAAGGGACTCTATCGATTCTAGGAAGTTTCTATCTCAATTGTCAACAAACAATTTTGATTCAGCCAATAATCCTAAATCCCACTACACACTTCAAAAGTGAGCCCATCTAGTATTGAGGCCTTTTTTGTGTAACTTCGTCTCCTTGGACTTTTCTCTCGTGATTTCTTTCTGTGGCACCTTTCCATGTTACATTTTCCATGGATTTGTCGGTTCAGTTGGCTCCGAACTCTTTGGAAATGCATGTATCGTAGTATTCCTGTAACTTCGTTTTCAGTGGTATTTTCTACGATCCGGATTCAGCACCCTGTGTTCGGTGTGTCGATCCCCTTGAAGGACCGATGCGCCAACGCAGGAGAATGTTCTACATGCATCTTCCGTTGGCTGATCGATTGGTCCACTCAGAAAAGCAACATATTTTAGGTAAGGCCAGCTTATTGTTTCCTCTTGCTCTTTCAAGCTTAGTCATCTGAGTTTACGTAATGCGGGGATAAATATATGTTTTTACCTTCAAAGAAATGTCATGAACCAGACTCTCCATAAAAAATGTGGAATAACTCATTCTAAGCGTTTCGACACAAGCTAAGGCTACATAACTTCTAAACTGTTCAGTTCGACCCAGTAAATAATGGTCTCCAATTCGAAACCAAGACTTTTTCGTGACGGAAAGCACTCATCGACAATCCATGACCAGTTGTTCTCTCGGGGTTTATCAACTTAGCACTCAGTAGCAAATTAAGTTAGTGTGATCAAGAGATTCAGCCGAATCCTTGCTGCATTTCGTCACTTACGTAAACTAAGGCTGATGTAAACCTGAGGATTGCGCCTACCTGATGGATCTCAAAAAGGACGAGACCAGTTGTTTCAACAACTAGACACCGAGCAGAAGAATATCAACCCCATAACGCTGCGAAATGGCCTCATCGGTTACTGCATGTTGATGCTCAGATGAGGCTATCTTCTGCACTAACAGCTGGCTGAAAGCTGGAGTTCCATGAAAGGTCCTTATTAGACTTTCTTACGATACGTTTTTAGTGGTACTTCACTGCGCTATGCCGTGTCTGGCCGTAGAGCGCACTTCTACTCTGGTGCCAACTTGAGTCGCTAGTCGGACTGCCCTGAAGGGTATATCGACGGAAGTGAAGGTCAACTTGACTGACGCAGCGTCAATTAGATGTACAGTGTGACGGCCGAATCCTCCGACGAAGACTAGCAAGCTCGTTTAGAGACAGTTTATGTTGTAACCACCGAAAGCTGTCCTTTCATTTCAGGATTTATTCCTCCCCTGACCTCATCCTCGAGACATCATGCTTTGCGGAATCATGTCTGGAAAGGTATTTACTTTGATAGACATCAATATGCCGGATTCAGATTGAGTGAAAGTACATCGAGACCGTCAGTGGCCGCATCTATCGTGAATAATGTTTGGGTGGATCATCTCTGGTCGATCGAATATCTATCATATCAGGTTGATGCCAAAAAGAGACTCACTACAGACCCCAGAAGAGTTCAGTAACCTTATAAGTAGCTTATCAGGAAAATATAACTCGATGCCTAGAATACCTTAATAACTGAAACGCGTGGCAGCACATCCACTCGATGGATATCACAAGCGGGAGACTCAGTTGAGCCTCTTGCCAACAATCTGCTAATAATTGTATTTCAATAAACATTAATTTTACTGAGCACTACGAGAGAATCTACGTGCTATCATCTTCCCTCACCCTAGCACATCAACGCCTTCCGCACCCCTTGGCTTCTCTCATTGGCCTACCGTCCCGCATTCCAAAACCACCAACCGGAGCTGCTTGTCAATGGACGCACTTACCGCTCTTTCTACCTCTTCCCGCGACGCCATTGGTCCAGCTGGCGTCGGCTAGTCGGCATGACGCTCTGGGCGTTTGGGCATGTCGCCTGGTTGGCCTTGTGCATATTCCACCGGTGGAGGGTGATTTGATTTTAGGCGACTCATGGCTTCGTTTCCAGCCCGATTCATCTGAGTTTGTGACGGCAACGGCTGAGGTAGTTTGCCACTTATTGTTGATTTATTGGTACTGCCAGCGTCACGTTTTATGTTTAACCAGTTCAGCCTTAGGTGTGCACGTTTAGATAGCTGACACAATTGGTTTATCGTCTCGTGCTTCTTGATTGCCTACACATGCTACTTATCCGTTGTGTTCTGTTCTCGGATTTATTACTGCTTTTGTCATGTAGTTTCATGTCACCTTGTAGGTTGTCACTATAACAAGTCATGCGCCAGTCCGGACCGGAGAGGGAAAGTGTTATCATCCGAGTGATACACTCAGCGGACTACCGTTTGGGGTGAAGTTTAGGTCACACATATTTCAGCAGTTGATGGATGCGTTGTCAAGATTACAGTGGCTTACCCCAGTGATATCATCGTTGTGAGCGAAAGATTGAAAGTGTTGTAGTCATTTATACAATCGCAGAGTATGGTTTCTGTGTTCGTCCCCATTTATGCTTCCCAGTATCACGTACCTCGGACCCGTGACAGACAATGCAGGTCGCCACCGGACCCAAGTAAAATCGCAGCTCTTCTGCATATATACCACCTTTGACTGATAAGACTTCCTCCTTGCTGGTCTACGGGAAAGCATAACTGGGGACGAACACAGAAACCATACTCTACCAGTTGTTCAACTTTTCAGCCTTCAACTGTGTACTGTAATTCAATGGTTCTAGGTTTGACAGCTTCGTTCACCGAGAATAACGAGAAGACAGTGGGAGCCTCGAGTTGGAGGCGGTGTTTCACTTCATTTAAGTTTCAAAACCGGGACCCGTGTGCCTGTGTACGGTGGTTCGTGCCACTGCAGCTTAAGGCATCGGGTAGTGTAAGATAGACAGGGTACAAAAAGCGTTTAAGAACTAAGAGTGAACAGAATAGCAGGCTGGTGATAAGAATGATGAGAATGGTACAGCACCGCCACTGTTTCCGTGACGTCGTCATTTCTATGAGTACGTGCCATTGATATTCCAATCTCACAGGCAACAGTTCAGCCAACGTCTTTTGTCATGTTTTTCTGTTGTTTTAACAGCCGTGATAAGTAAGGAGCTCACTCTCTCCATTCTTATTTAAGTTCGTGATCGACTAGATAATGAGACGAACGTTGGAAGGTCTTCAAAACCCCGGTGCTCAAATATCCTGGTTGATCTGGAATACGCGGATGACATCATTCTCGCCTTCTAATAGAGAAAGAGGGTGTAGATGTTTTTGGATGAATTGACCAAAGTCAGTTCATCGGCATAAGCTTTACACCTAGAAAATGTATTTGTTTATATATCCGTGCATGCAGTCAGTGAACACGCCAGTTAAATCCAAGGAGAGTCACTCGAAGTTGTGGAGTGTTTTACGCATCTTGGAAGTTGTAGTAGTACGACAGATGAAGTCAATACACGAATCCAAAAAGCCCGGATCGCGTTTGCTCATTTGAGTCAAAGTGGCACATCTCTGAATCTAAAGGGATTTGTGTATCAGGCTACAGCACAGGCAGCGGAACTGAGACGTCTTGAGTTGTTCGACAACCGTTATCTCATAGCCGTAGCTCGGGAGGATTGGTGTCGACAAATCCGTAATGAGACAATTAGAAAGGATGTATCCAGTAGCAAAAGCTGCGTTGGTTAGGCTATTTGTTGTGTATGCCGAGGAGAGAGTTGTTTCCCGTGCTTTCATGGGTTATGAAAGTCGGGCTACTGTCGGTCCCTTCCAGGATGAGATCAGCGTGATCTCCACTGTCTCTTGTTGGAGACACCGTAAGATATGGCTGCTGGTCGATGTCGCTGGTGTTCCGATCGGTTTTACTCCAGACTGTCTGAATGAACCTTTGGAGATGTAAGCGCCTTAGACTGATTATAGCACCAATTCCCTTCCCAATTCAATTTTATCCTTTTCTTTACAATAAGACTTTCAAATAAATTTTGGTTTTACGTCAGTGAGGCATCGGCGCTGAATACTGATGATATGATGTCGATGATGACGATACTTTTCTTGCGTCGTTCATCTTGTGATCTTCCGTTCAGAACTGGTCTCAGCGAACAGAGCACGGTGAGGCGGTTGATAACCTCTAGCATTTGGAGCACATGACCGGGTCACCGTAGTTGATGCTGCCGGATCAGTCTTTTGAATAGGAGGTCGCACTGCAAAGTGCCCCATGACGCGCCGGTGGTAAGGTCAAACAATCTTCTGTTACCAGGCTTCACCGACGTGGACGCATTGTCTCGCCGTGGATCCCGCCTTCACTGACAGGCTAGTGTCATATGAACCCTCAGGCTTAGGCTGAAGAAATGCAGAATGATCTTCAGCTATTTTAGCACTGTCTCCGTCATCACTGATGGCACCTGACGTGATACAACTGCCCAGATAGGCAAACCTGCCCGATTTCTCTACCGGTTCTGATGCCGTGACCAGCTTTGAGATGGTCCACTCACCCAGTCTCGTAGTAGTAATTTGAAAGAGTAAAATGTGTCTTATAAATAGATGATCATCCGCACCGGATGTGTGGGAGGTGTGGCGAGTTCCGCGAAATTGTTTTAAGGCAGAGATGTGGCCAATCCATCCACAGCCCGGTCGAGGCTCTGCTTAGTTTTCACGACTACACCGCTCAAGCGTGTTAATGAATCCCAGATGAATCTCGTTTATGATATTATTTAACTGGATGTGTTACACAAGGTCGCCTTACGTTTCAACTGATACAATATTCGAGATATTACAGTAGAGTATCTTGACTGAACACATTACTCATAAGGCTGGTAAAAACTCTTCGACAGTCCACGATCGGCTTAAGCTTCTTGGGATGTATCAGGAAGGCGTAGTCTCTAGGTTTCCGTCAACCCTGTCTTCCTGTGAATTATCCAACATCAGCTAATTTGTCTGTTGCATTAGTTGATGTGGTATCTGAAAAATCTACTGCCTTCGTACTAATTCTACAATGGTTCGCCAGTTTCATGTAGCTGCTGTGATGTGTAATGACCTGGCTGACTAGAGTTTTGCTACCTTACGGAGAGAACGAAGACAGATTAGGATGAGAGGCGCGCGTATGAACAAGTGACAGGCGTGCATCATGCGGGCAAAGTAACGAAAAATAACTGGTGCAGTTGGTGTGGCAGGCAGACTTTGGAAAAGTGAATACACATAAACTATTCACATGATGAGTACGCTTAGTGAGTTAGAATGAAGTCCCCGTAAGTGAAGCCAGTCTATGCAAACACATCGTCTCTTCTCGTTAGCACTAATTTCGTTCATAATAAAAAAAACAGTGTATGCGGAACTGCGAGTTTTTGGTTGTGACTCGCGTGACTAAGACTTATGCTTCCTAGTCTCACATAAGTTATCGAAACAAGTGATGTTTAGTACTTCCTATTTCTTGTTTGTACCGTGTCTTCATTTCTTCTCCTATGACTGTCTGTCACATTGAAAGTTCCAGTCGTTCAATTCACCAATAAATGCAATTTACCAATAAATGCCTTCAATCTCTCTCCCCTCTCTTTACCCAGCTGTAAATACATACTATCTGCTGTCCCGTTGTAAGCTGTTGGAATAACGCTACCCATCTTGTTCCAAATGATGCCTAGGTACCTTACTCTTCCTAAATGTGTTTGTAATTGCAAGCATTGCGAGCAAATCAATGCAGTCCTTCACTACACACTTTTACAATATCGGGAGCTTTAACGCATGTTACAAGATAAAAACTTCTGGCTACTTTCACAAGGCTGGGTATGATAATACCACCGAGCGCGAAATCAATAGGGCAGATGAAGGACGTTTCAACTTTTTCCCGAATTAGCTTGATGGCTTGTACTTCAACTGTAAACGGAACACACTGATTTTCTCGGGGTTAACTGAAGTAGATTCTCTCGTGGATGTTCTGACTGCTGGAGCTCACTTAAAAGTTTGTTTGAAAAACTTGCGGAATGGTACGATAGTGAGTCTCCATAGTTGACGCTGTCCGCTTTCACAGTTTTGTGTAATCACAATTTTTGACGAGGCTGAATCGCGATTAATCGCTTGCACGATGAAACCTGCTGAAACCTGTGACAGTTCATATGGTAGGTAGCCTTATGCCACAACAAAGCCTATGAGGAGCAGTTGAAATTTCGGCCCAATGGAAACACGATGAAACTATGTTGTGTTTTCGGAATATTTTTTCTTTAATTGAGACACATTTAGTGGCCATATTAGTGGATTTTTCTGTCTATTTGGCCCCTTTGCTTGCTTGATACCCCTAATTAAAGTTGTCATTTCTGTTTTGGGGGCGCATTAACTGCAGGGAGAAATCTGCGCATCATTCGACCAAACCAACTCCATAGGAAATGTCACAAGTGTTCTCAACTAAAAAAACGATGACTTTTCCAAGTGAATGTTTCATGCAGGTTTCAGTACCGTTTCAGCGGCTAGCTACAATGAAAGACGAATGTTATTTTCACTTGTAGGTGATATCCACACCTCATTTCGATGTTTGTAAAACAGTTGGAACAGGCGAACCCTTCCTTGAACCAGTTTGATAGCAGCAGCTTCTTCATCACTTGAGGTTTTTTGTGGTTACCAACATACTAATAAATTGTTTTCTGAAGATTATATGCATTCCATTCAGCAAATCATTTTCGGTGGACGGCTGAACTCTGTCTAACATTTCTTTGGGGTCTGCTCACGATTAGTGACTCAACGACATTAATGACTTGGTCCTTAAGTGCCAGGCTCTGTAAAACCATAGACCTCTGGTTAGTAGTGCAACCAAGCACAGTAGTCGCGTATTCCACAGACCCATTCCTTCTGCTACCAGGCTAGGATTTATATCGCAACGCTCTTTGTATCCGACTCGATTACCATCGATTGATTTCGTTTGATTCTTTCAGGAGGATTCGCTTTTCCGTGTAAATCCGGTGGCTCGTTTGTGGTTAGCCTGGCCATTATCTTCCATTGATCACATCGAAAAGCGCCGATATGCTCTGCGCAATTTGGCTGTTGAAATTTTTCCCGATGGAACCAGCGTTAACGCACCCGCACTCTTCGCTATGCGTTCCAATAAAGTAAGCACAGGTCACTAGGTTTTGTCTTTGAACTGTACCGGTTCAGTGAAATTTGATTGGAGGATATCTATATTGGGTGTCACCAATCGGACAAAACTGTCGTCCAACAACTCCCATCAACCACGAGGTCGGGTTGTTGTGTTGCTATTTTCGATAACTATACTGATTTGAACACCCTGCGTATTTCGAGACCAGGAATTCCCACACGTTTAGTCTATTGCTTCCTAGGTTCCTATGAACCGCGCCATTGCCTCTCGCTTTGTAGTCGGGAACAACGAAACCGGAATGGTTAGAGCAAAGAGTTATGGTGACACTAAAAACGCCAGTGGGCGAGTCGCTCGGTAGACTCAGACTTAACTGCATTTGAATAGAAGAACTAATCACACTATCATGGCTTGAGGTCAGCATGCAATTGTGAGGATATTGGTAAGAAACATGGCACCGATGCCAGAAATGCAGTAATCGGAGTTTGTCCGGGAATTATTGCACATCTAATAAGGTGGTGCACTTGTTCCTGATGGTTGGGCCCCATTATTTTACCCAATGCATATCGGTTCATTTAGGTCTACGTAGAATGGGAACTAATCCAGTTAACATAGTCCACAAGAATCATGAAATTACTCTCACAGAACGCTTAACGAGATCCACTGATCTGATCCTTGATGAACCCATCTAAATCTTTCTACCAAAATTCTGAATGATATTTATGTGGTCCGATCGGTGCACTTGAGGCAGACGTTACAAGGCCAATTTCACCGAAACGTTAACTGAGTTCACTCCGTCAAACGTCGATGTTTGACTCGGGCTGTTAATCCGCTTGTCTGCGCAGACGTTTCTAAGGCCTGTGTGAAACAACTTTCATTGCAACGATTGTATTAGTTTCAGATAGTACGTATACTACAAGACAGCACGCTGTGGTTGACTAACTATTGACCTACCGAATGTGTTTACTAAACCGAAACTTGTTCACTGTCATTACTACTAAAATAGTCGGGAAATGTGCTGGCCTCGGTGCACATGGACTGTTTGCAAGTGTTTTTGAGTCCAGCTTAAGTGTGTTACGGTCCTCGTGAAAGACCGGACGGATTCCATAGTTTTGTGGTGCTCTCTAAATGGCCTCGATAAGTAATCGACTGCATTAGAAGATCGGGCGGACTGGTATGCGTTGTGTGGCTTGTTGCAGGGAGCTTGGCGCTAAAGACCTTCGGTTACTCGTTGTTATGGAGAACTCCCACCAAGCGGATTGGTTCTTGCCAACAAGTGTGGGCGGTGCATGTGACTGAGCTCGTAGCAGTGCTTCCTTTGATACACTGACTCTAAAGAGAGTCTGAGTAACGATCGGAGTCAGTGTGCTTTTTATTGATCTTTGTATCAAGACTGTTCAAAGAGAACTTACAAATGTCACATAATGGGAAGCTCAAACGCGTCTATGTTGTTGAGAATTCCTTATTAATTGTGACCTAGTTTCGAAAACTGTTCGAACCGCGCGAGAATTCGTTTTTGCAACGTTGCAATTTATATATATATAGGAGATGAATGAAGCCTTGCACACTCGGTACTTGTACGTCGTGAAACGGTTTATCGAAAATATGCCAAACAGGCGAGCCCGTTACAACACCACCAGCCTGTTTAAAGAGCCAGTGTTCGCTTGAATTCCATTACATGCTTCCTTATTGATCAGAAGCGCATCCTTTTGCTTTATCCGCCGTCGAAACGAACTTTGCCTGCCTCGCTAATTTTTCCCTTGGTACTCATAGGACCGTAATCATTTCATTCATGCATTGCGGGAGCAAATGAAGACGAAGGCAGTACGAAGACGGTTTCTTTCCACGACATCCGAGGAACACCCAGCTGGGGACGAGTCAAACGTTGATCATGGACACCACCGCTTACGTGCCGTTCAACGCCGTTGGTTGAAAGGACAGATATCCAACTTCGCCTATTTGATGGAATTAAATGATCTAGCTGGCCGAACCTACAATGATTTGATGCAGTATCCAATATTTCCATGGGTTATACAAGTGAGTATCGCTTTTGAGTGAATGAACGCATTTATTAGGTCGAGATGAATAACTAGTGTATAGGGACGCTTTGTGAAGGAAAGCAACATGAGGACAGTAGATGGTTATAGATATCAATATCACGAGCGTGAAATTATAGGTACAGTGGCTTCTGATATCAGGGTATCTCATGCAAAAAAGCTCAACACCACGAAGCCGAAATACCTCTAATAAGCCTTCCTCACTGGTCCGTCCCTCATTATGCCATTCCCACGGCTACTTGGACGAGAAATCAGTGGATCTACCCAGGAGGCTGGAGTGGCAAACCGCATAAGGTTGTAATAAATCAGAGGGCGGCTTTTCTCCGGACGACGGCACGAGCTGCCTGGCTCAGTGACAGAAGTGATACCGATGCTGACTCATAAATGCAAGTTTCAACTGGGTGTGCAGCTAAACAGGAAGATGAGACGATTGTTCGCCCAAAGTTTGAACTTAAAATCTATCGTTCAAGAGCAAAGCTATTGTTGCTCACCATAACATGGTGGCCGATCAACAGGGGTGAACTGAAAATGATTTCTCTGAAATGTTTTCAATGTCAAGGCTTTTACTGTTGTCAGGTTTGGTCTGACTGTGTGTCTCAGTATTTCTTTTTTTGATAACGGTTTGTTTAACTGAGCGGATTTTCAGGGTCATAAAACATTTCAAATTGGAAGATCCTTTGTGCGCGTTATTTTCAAGTTGCTTCAGCATGCAAAAAGCCGGAAATATAACAGGACAATCCTTTTTCGTAATGCGAGAGAATTCTTTGATCTGTCCACTGTCTATAGTAAACTTGAAACGAGAATGCATGAAAAATTGCGTAACTGTGCTAAAAAAACTCACAACTTAGTACTGTCACTGAAACATTCCTTGGTGCTGAACTGTACATATGACCATGCATATGCCGTGGTTATGGTAGCCTAGTTAACAAGACGACACTTGGCAAATATCGGTAGGAAGCACGGCAATGGTGCTCGATGTTTCGCCTGAAAATACGTTCATTTCGCCATAATTCGGTAAATCTACCCATTGTTTCGCGTTAGTAAACTGCGAAAAGATGACATTCATTATTCAATATATTCAGGGTGATAACACGATCAACGCAGCGGTTGTAACAGTTTGTTACCAAAATTCAAAAATCTCTGATTTTGCTTACCAAGTTCTCTGTGTAGCATATTTATTCGATTTAAAAGTTTCTTGTACTTGTAATTTAGACTGGTAGTATAGTCCGCAGCTAGTCGTATTGGAATTCCTTCCTTCTGTATATTTGAAAGGCTGTAAAAGCTCAGTATTCTGTTACTCTTGGGATTCACTGAAAACCACACGGAGTAACCAGGCTGTTCCCCAACCGTCCGGACATGTGGACTGGTTTATGTCTTGATTCTGTAGTGTACGACTTTCACCTTTTATATGGAAATTGGCTCCTAAGGTTTTCCGTTGAGATGCCTCTCGTGACCCACTCTGCTCAATCAAACCGGCTGAGTCTGAGATAGGATGCGTGGACCATGAAGCTATACACGTAAACGAAACCAACAGATAGTTGCGCGCACAAATCGTTAGACCTCGAAAACGCCTGTTTGCTGCTCCAGAATACTACTCAGTTTACGATCCCTAACGGGCAGGCACTTTTGGAAGTTTTTGGAGAAACGCTAACTCACTGACGGTGTAGACGACGCGAAGACAGACAGGCTACATATTTCCACCACTGATTTTTCTTAGTATGAATTTCTTCAAGAATTGAGTGTTAATTTTGCGGAGCTCAGTGAATTAATACCCCGAAGCATGCCATGTGGAAGATAATTTAGGCGCACCGAATATGAAGGTTTAGTAGACCGCAGATTCAACTACTGCAGTGGCGTGATGCGGGGAAACGACAGATCAATGAGTCACATACAGCTCATGTTGCCACAAGCTTTGTCATGTTCAACAAAGGGTTAAACTGACTGCTTGGGCTGGTACTCTTGGCACAAAAATCATCGATCCGTTCTTGTCTTCAGGTAACATCAATAGTAAATGCTGTCGTTAAGTGGTTATTTTCATTCGTTGTAGCCTTATAATAAAAACAAGTACCGCAACACCAAACGGTCCCACCTGTGGATGGGATCAATCCAGTCTATGGTATTTGGTTCCAGTCACACTGCGGTCCGCCATACTACACTCGGAATGTACACAAACATTTGGGTCAGACATCCTTGAACAAATGAACCAGCTGAGGATCATCAATGACGGGTTACTCAGCTGGCTTTCCGCTGAACCTTCTGTCAACACCGAGTTACTTTGCAGATGAGAAAATCATGATGCCTGTCGATTTTTTATGAACGCGGGCTGCGCGAACCCGGTAGGAAGGTTGTGATGAGGGCGGTTGCCTTGTGCTTTGGACGGCGCCAGTTTCACTGTACATTAGCAGCCTTACATTCATACGATGACATTTGAAAGGGATATCGGAAACATATCGAATACATACGTCTCTGGGCGAACCAACGTGCCTTGGTAGCACCGTATGCAGACATCTTACTGTAATGCAAGGCAAATGAGGGCCACTATCTAGTAAAGTTACAGTAGCGTTGTTGCGGCCCGATTGAATCAGATAGAAAGTAGTAAGGTTTACAGTCAACTCAGAGGTTGGCTTTGTAATTTTATTTTAGGCAAAGGTTTGGGTGGTGATCATTCTGAGGGCTATCTGTTTCTTATGATGGAGGTTGTTTCGTAGACAATCAATGTAGCTGGTTATTTATATTGGAGTCTTATAAGCACGGCACAATTTAGCGTTTATAGCTTTAGTGTTTAGTGGTACTATTGTCCGATGTATGCCGAATTCCTTGCCCGCTATGTCTGTCCCCCTCAAGAAAGTCAATCTCAGATAAACTGTTTTCGTTCAATGGCTTTCTTCCCCAGATAGAATGATTTCATTTAGAGTGACTTGGTGTGACCACAGATTCTTACATACCTTGAGTTCTCTCCATGTTTGTACACGAATTTCTTATTTAGCGTACTTTCTTCTCCAATAAGGCCCAGATTTCCTACGGCCCATTGGCAGCAACCGTCGCAAGATCCAAACGTGTATTTATTTTCTGGGTTCGTGCTCTCAATCCGATTGCCAAATGGACTGCCAGGATGAGCCCTTTTTATGCACACCTGACTATTTCTCCCAAAATAACTTACCTCGAATGACTCCTAATTTTACTGTCTACAGAGAAAGTTGTCGGCCTGTTGCCGAAATATTAAGCTTCACTTAGAGTGCGGTTGATGAGCTGGCTGATAAGTAAGCTTGCCTCTGTTACTCTATACTACAGGACGAGGAATATTCTCCCTATTTATTCTTATAAGTTTGTTTTAGAAGTTCATTGAAGGAATGGACAAACCATTTTAGACTCGACTTTACCGTTGACGTATCCCGATTTTTCCTACTGACTCATTTGCGTACCTACTTGTGGAAGGGGATTAGTGGGAGGCTTGAAAGAATCTCTCATCAAGGACGTTCCCTTGGGTAACATTCCCTTAATAAAAACGGTTTGTGGAAAAGGTCCTAGCGGTCATTTTGTGATATTCTTCTTGTACGATACACAACTTCACGAGTTAGAGATTCGTTTTGCCACCCTCAGACCTGCATATTTGGTATTCTCACAAAATATCTCCGGCTTTCCATCGCTACTACTCAGGACTACGAAAGTGCGGTTTTGGACCTGGGACATCCTAATACCTATCGGAAGTTTGATCGGCCAATAGCTGTTCAGTTGGACGAGCGCGCTGCAGCAGTATCAAAGCACTATGACGATGCGGAACAATTTGCTGAAACCCTACTGTCTGAATTCAGTGGTTCAGTGGAGAAGCTGTCGATCAGAGGAACACGCCTTTCGCCGAAATTCGCCGGTCTTATCTATCCTCCGTACCATTATCCCTCACACTGTTCGAACGAGGCGATCGTTCTCAGTTTCATGGTTCGATTACTGCCCTACACGTATCGCCATCTTCGCTTCCAAGGTATGCGCTATGTCCAAACTTCTTTCAGCGATTGGGCACTTTGGAATTCCAATCGTGTAATGTTTCCACTGCTAAGTGCTAAACACCTGGGTGATGTTCAAGATATAGTGATGAACATTGGTTATTCTGCGAGATAAATAAGATACCTTAGAAAGTACCTTCGAAATTGTCGCGCCAACGTGATTGAATAATACGGAGGTGACGTACTCTCGTTTAAACACCAATCCAGGCCTTATCCAGCCATTTATTTGTTACTGCTGGGACACGATCCATTTTACCATTATGTGACTATGTAGCCACAACGGCTTAGATTTGTTGTTGCATGCTGCGAATCAGTCTGTGCCTAAAATGGCACATCCGAAAAAACGATAAACTCTGTGGCTGTATGAGTGAAGCAGCTATCTATTCAACCACAGTTACGGTTAGAATAATTTCAACTACAGTCCGTATAACTTCGGTTGCCGTTCAGATGACTCCACTCAATGGACGAAATAGGATGCTGCTTTAGTTCTCAATCCCAGCGCCTGACTTGACGGTGAGTGGAGGAGCGGTGCCAGCAAACTGTTGGAGCATAATTAGAGCGGTTGTTTCACTTGACGCAACATTCATGGGTCATGCACGTCGTGAGGGAGTCCAACACACAGTTTCATCGTCATGCAAGTGGAGCATGTCTTTCCATGTTCTCTTTTGCGGAAGGCGGTATTTCGGTTTGAATAGCTCTCACCAAAGTTGTAAAGAGTGCTGTGGTAGCACACTCCCTCGCAACGAATCACTCAGTCACCGCTTCCATCGCGTCTCAATCAATCTACTGAGAGCATGGAAGACACTCATAGGCAGTCAGAATTTTATTTTGACCCAAATGAGGTAGTAGCTCTTCGATTGTTAACTTACTACTCTACTTGGGAGTGGCACATGTAGCCCTAGAACTAGCCTGGCCTGCTTCTGACTGTGTGGTTGTTCCCCAAACCCTACCCCAGTAATTCTTCCCCACTCTCGTTGACTGAACTAGATTAAGTACTCAGATACACTCATTTACATGTAAACTTGGTTTTCACGGGAAATCTCTCGTTTATATATATATATATATNATATATATATATATATATAGTAAGTTGACCGTTGTACGTGTTCCACACGTGTGCCGCTTGTTATGGACCTGGTTGTTGGGTTTCTCCCGAAATGGAAATGCTACAAATAATCCGTACTTTTATTCTGTGCAGTTTTGTAAAACTAATTCCACTCTGACTACAAAAACTTCCGTCAAAAGGGAGCAGAGTTGTAGGTACAATTAGTCAGTATGCTCAAAGAATATGGGCTTTCATGACCACTCCTCCGAAAAGATTGCTTTTATCGATCCATCGGAGCTCCTTCCAAATATGCTGACAGCCGGCCACTTCAGATAGTCTCTCTAGAGGGGAAAACCACGCCAGGTTTTATCTTCAGATATACATGTATTGGATTCATATCACTGCTTGCTAAAATACGCTTAGCCGTATTGTTATTAACTGGTGCACCCCCCTCTGTATAATCCTGATCACTAGTTTTTTTCAAGGTGACCCTGTTTTGTCATAGCTGCAGTATGCTTATGTGTAAACTAGAGGTCATTTTCAACACTTCTGTTTCCTCCAGTGAAGCTGTTCTGCATGACGTTTGATATCTTTCCAGACAACAATTACGACGTGCCTGACCGTTTGTTTCATTCGATTGAGGCCACCTGGCGCCTGGCTACCACAACCGTCACCTGTGTGAAGGAACTACTGCCGGAATTCTACTTCGTTCCTGAGCTATTTGTTAATGACACGGGCTTGGCGTTGGGTTCTCGTCAAAATGGGAGCTCAGTAGATTCTGTACAGCTTCCTCCGTAAGTGGTGTTTCTTTACTGATCCCATTTCTCCTATCTGGCGCGTATGTTGGTAAACTACGAACGGCTCAGAATTGAAATCGCCTTTTCTCAATCCGCGGCCCATCTACAAATGAATTCACGACCCTTCTAAAAAAATGAACTTTCTTCAACAAATCTTCAACCTACCCAAATTAGCTTTAGGAACGGATTATAACGAGCGAATCACTCTAAAAATCCGTTCATTTTACTGTGTTGTGCTATTTGGTTTCACGATTTAATCGGCGCCCCATTAGTGCATGTGGCCAACTGAATCACGAGACGGTCTTTGTGCAATATATTCAGCCGAAGAATGTTTTAAACGAGGTAGATCCTCCTGCTAATACCACCTTAACTTCCAAGGAGTGTTCAGGTGCGAAATTCATTGACTAGGCCCGGCTGATGAGCCCAAAAAGGGCAAAACAATTGTGGAGTGTGTGGTACATTCATGGCTTTGTTCTAGCACCTGATGGAGTGTGAAGATTTGGTCAACGCATTACTTATTAGGCCGGAATCCCGCTTGCTACCCTCGAATCAGTGGTTCACAGGCTACCATAACGTAATAAAGCACAATTGACAGCAACAATCCCGTTACTGATATCCCGTGGTTATTGCACTCATTACGAAACCCTTTTTTGAAAATGGACACTATCACCGACTCGCCCCAGTTGTCTGGGGCACTCTTCTTATCTAAAGTGCACGCTGACTGAGGATTTCAGATCCAGATGAGTGACAATTAGTGGCCACGATAGCTATTGTTCGGCCCAACGTTCGAGGTGTTCTTTATTCGGGATGTTTACTCCCTCCCGATCCTTGGTGGTTTTGCTCACAGGAGCGTTCCAGGTATCGGTCGCGCGGATCTACGGAAACAATATTCGGACATTCCCGGCTTTCTGGGCCTCTTCCATTTCCGTGGCTTTCTGTGTCCACCAGACTACACGGTCGGCTCGTACACCCAATTTCACCTCTGACGATGACTTTATCAATCTGGAGTATAAAGACATCGTTCTTGTCTCCTAATAAGAAAGAGGGCACAAGTGTTTTTGCTAAACTGATCAAAGTCTTTTAATGCTCTAGTTGTGACGCAATCAAGTTAAGTATCAGAAGGTAATGAGCACTAACAAATGTCTGTCTTACTAGAATGTGATGAATACCATAACTAGGTGTACTTGATAAAAATAGGTACAATACGGAAAGCTGAATAAGCTAAAAAGTCACTTATCTTTTTGAGGACACTTGTTGAGAGTTCCTGAGTGAAGTTCCGGACGCGGGACTTGTCTCCTCTGCAGTATAGCTGCTACACGTGTTCTATAGTTGGCCGTGGAGACTTGCAGAGCTCTGTTGACTTCCTGTCCTGTGCGCGCGTGTGTGTGTGTGTGTGTTGAGCCTAGTTGTATACCTATTTATTGTATGCAGTGTGAAGAGAGGTGTGTCCCTTCGTGTTTGATGCTTGCATGAACATGAATACAACTTGGCCTGATGTGTTGAATGGAGTTCATACTCCTGGCGCGTGACGTAAGTGGCAGGCGCGTGAACGAAAATGGTTGAGAAGTTTTACTGCACATGCCGGCTAAGGTTGCAAGCGGGACAGGAATTGTCACATGGTTTCAGTGTTTGTGACGCGTGACCTGACGGGTGACCTCTAGTCATCCCCTTTTTGGCATGGGCTTTATACCTAAGAAGTCTGTATGCTCATACTTCCAGGCGCACAGTCAGTGAGCACGCCACTTAAATCCGAGGGGAGTCACTCGAAGTTGTGGACTGTTTCACGCATCTTGGAAGTTGTAGTAGTCCTGTTTGCAATGCGACGTATTAGGTCAATGCACGAATCCGAAAAACCCGGGATTGCGTTTGGTAATTTGGTACACCTATGACGTCAAAGCGGTGTATCCCTGAATCTATAGGGACTTGTGTATCAGACTACAATGCGCGTTGTTTTGTTGTATGGCTGTGAGACTTGGCCTGTTCGAGCAGCGCAACTGAGGCGTCTTCAGGTGTTCGACAGTCGTTGTCTCAGGACACAGCCCTTGTGGTCTTGTGTCGGGCAATCCGTATTCTGGTAATTAGAAAGGAATTTTTGGGTTGTGCAGCGGGAGCTTTTACTGAAGAATGTGTCCGGTACCAGAAGCTGCGTTGGTAAGGCCACGTATTGCGTGTACTGAACCATCCTTTATCGTGTTTTCCGTGCCCAATTCAGAATGATGGAACCAGAGAAGTGATTAAACCTTGAGCTGGCAGATGGTTATGAAACAGATTACGAAACGAAAAGTGCTACTCGCCTTCCAGGATAGGGACTGTGTGACCCCAATTGCGCCTGATTGGAGACGCTGCAAGATGTGGCTGCTGATCGATGTCAATGGCGTCCTTTCTGTCAGCTTCTGTTCAAGTCGCTTTATGTGTGTAGGCATCTCGGAATGATTGTGTTAGGCTAAGACTTCCCCATCCACTTCTATTCTTATCTTCACAATACTATGCTAAATAAATCATGGTTGTACGGCCTCGAGGCGTCAGCGTTGAACACTGATGTCATACTGTCCACGATGATGATGACGATGGTGATGACTGTTTATGGTGACCACGTTGCAGTGATGTGTCTTCGTCACGTGCTGGGTTTCTGGATAGTTTCAGTACACGCCTAAATATGGTTTAGAACATTCGGTACCTCAGGTTCCGCCATTCCGGTGCAGAAAGCTATGATACCGTTCTCACAATCCATGCTTATCAATAAATGACCGACCGTCAGGGATAATTTTCGGTACCTAAACTGGTAGGTAGGCGACAGAAGTGAATGGTATGGTGATCGCTACGTTAATGTTAGTTTCTGTTGATTTAACTCCAGCCACTTAATATATTGATATTACCTTTCTTGCCAACGACCTTGGATAGAGGTTCATACGCTTAGGCTATAATAAAAACAGTCACTCTGAAAGTGCTGTGAAGCACGGGGGTTAAACTGACGTTACTGTCTACCGTGGTGCTGCTGAATCAAGCTTGCTAGCGAATATTGCAAAGTATATAGTAGATGTTTCTAAATGATTCTGTTAGTCCTTTTATTGGTGTTTATATTCCGGTCTCTCTAGTGCTGAACAAGGCTTCTCGCCTGCATTATTTCTTCTAGGTGGTCTAAGGGGAATCCTCGCCTCTTCACACTAATCTGTCGAGCAGCACTCGAAAGTGACTACACAACGAGTCAGATATCACACTGGGTTGACCTTATATTCGGGTACAAACAAACCGGGAAACGAGCCAAAGAAGCACTCAATTTATATCATCCCTATGTGAGTTTCATGTACACTCAAGCTTGCGGCTACGACGCTCCATATTTTTTGTGGCTTATGGTTGTTTCATTCATCAAAACGTCCGAAATTCGAAGTTTGTTATCGTGTCCAAATCTACAGGTGGATAAGTTGTTTTGATGGCATGTTAAAAACAGAGATAAGCTGTTCAGCCTGTTTCTCATTGGTTGTGATGAGTAAAATATAGGATCCCTTGTCTGTATTAGGAACTGAAAATCCTCACTCTATCTTGAGTACAAACGACGTACAAACAAACCACGTGGACCGAGGCGGACACAACGTCTGAGGGGGAACCTGGCCTGGAAATTTGGTTGCAAACGTTTCATCACTGAATGAGGTGACATCATCGGTGCGTTGTTAGGGCGCGTAGTGGTACGCAGCAACCACTACGCGTGAAAGGAAGAAGGCCTTCGCTGCGGAGTTATCTATTCGGAAATGCCAACTGACCTGTTACAGGCCATTGAACAAGGAAGCAAAACTCTAATCTGCATCTTAGTTACAAAAACTGGACACAGATCTTCTCCCGAACGAGTTTTCTTAGAGATTAGTTGCCTCCACTCATTCGCCGGGTAAATCCAAGCAAATGTTACAAAGTGGCCCCACGAATTCCGCAACA